TATACTTTAATTGGTCATCATTAGAGGAAATAAGAGAGAATTATTTAAATGTACAAAAGTAAAAAAGAAAAAGAAAGAATAAAAAAAAAAAAAAATATCTCTTCTCACCTTTCCCAATAATTATTTTTTATAAGTCCGAAAAATTTTACTCTTTCAAACAAAAAAAAATATATATATATATATACACAAATATAGGTTTTTTTTTCTTAAATAAACATTTCTTTTCAAAAACAAATCATTCGTGCAACCTTCGTTAGAAATAGATATATCATACATAAGTCATTGGTGATTTTAACGTTAACGTTATATAAATTATAAATAAAATATAATTTTTAACAATTTATTTTGACCTTGATCGATGTTAATGATATGAATTATACATAATGATATATCATACATAAGTCATCGGTGATTTTAACGTTAACGTTATATAAATTATAAATAAAATATAATTTTTAACAATTTATTTTGACCTTGATCGATGTTAATGATATGAATTAATGTTATAACAAAAAAAAAAACAAAAGAAAAGAAAAAAAGAAAAAGAACAAAAATGCATATTAATGTAAGCCATCAATACGATGAATGTCAATAAAAATAGTTATACAAATAATGTCCTTAAATCTAATATATATAATATAAAACGAAGTACTTTATCACGTTACGTGCTATGTCTAACATGAATGATTTTACAAGTTAAACTTTCTATTCAGGTCGCGTGTAACACCGATTGCATATTTACACGTTGGGATATTTACTAAATGCATTTACAATATCAAAATGGACTGACCGAATGAAAAGATCGAGTAAAAATGATTCGAAAAAAAAATCGAGCAACGTGTTAATAACGAAAAGTTATATTTTCTTTTATTTCATAGGACGAAATGTTCATTTATAATCGTAACAAATTGTCGTTAATTTTAATGTTTGAAACGGTACCATTGATCTTTATCTTATTGAAATAAGGGTGAGACTCGAATGAAAATGATTTATATAAAAATATTTTTTTTGGATGAATAAAATTTTGATGATCGCGAATATATCAAAAGGAAAGTCTACTCTCTTATCGTATAATATATATTCAACTATATGGCGAGTAGTAAAATAAATAGGGACTTGGTGGTTAAGCTTACCGTATTTCAGCACTTGGACGTCGCTAACAATGACCTGATTAACGTCGGTAACAGAATCCGGGGAACGGGTGTTCAATGCCTTCAACACGCGACCGTCGTCTGTGGAATATATCCGAATATTTCCATGTATAATTTTAGAAAGGCGAAATACGATCTCGTGCGACGAACGAGAAATGTTATTATTTTAGGGGCTGACGTTACCTGTTCCAACGTAAAGTATATCGTAGGCCTTGCCGTCTAACGCCTTCACTTGAGAATCTACGGCGACTTTGGTAAATCTGTAACTGTAAACAAAAGAATATTTTTTTTTTATTTTTTCTTTCTTTCTTTTTTCTTTTTTTTCTTACTTTCCCTCGTCATTTTTTTTTTTTTTTTTTTTTTTTTTTTTTTTTTTTTTTTTTTTTTTTTATAATTTCGATCGGCAAAGGATATCCAAATATTTTCTATATTTAAAAATTCAACACAATTATTTGTATATTCTAACACAGTCCAATTTCTTAATAATACAATATATATATATAATGTTTTATTATTAACACGAATTATACTTTTGGATCTATAGTTTATCTTGGATCTTTAGTTAGTAGAACGATCTTTATTTTCGATTATATTATTAATCGCTTTTATGCTTGTTTTATAAAATCGAATATGACGATATACTTTGTTTAATAAAAATATCGAGAATGTAATTTGAAGTTTTGTTAGATTTAAATAAGGCACGATGAGGAAAATTATTTCGAAAAATGAAATTATTTAAGAAAGCTCAAAGCTTATTACTTCAAATTGATGTAGCAATCCCTTAAGAGTAATTATTTTTACGATTAATAAATCATTTTTATTATCAATAATCTGTTTTATTTGTCAAACAGAAAATTGTTTATCAACCGATAAAGTATTTAGAAAAAAAAAGAAAAGAAAAAATAACATCCACACACACACACACAGACACAAAATTCGATACTACTTTGAGACTACTTCGAACGTTTGCTCTAACAAAGAGAATATTTATAACTTTTATATAATTTTGAGAAACATTGTCTTAATCTTAAGACGTACACAAGAGGCTTATAAATCCGTTAATACCAGTTCCAAACTCATTCAGTGTAATAGAAATGAATATAATCATAATAATAGGAAGGACTTACTTGAAACTGACTTTGGTTATCACAGGCATTGCGAAATAGGATTGGACAGCGTCGTCCATGAGCGGATGAGCCTTAACAAAATTGACGGTCATATCTGGAAGTGTTCTAGAGTCGTTAACGCAAGCACCGGGTCTTGGTTTAGGCACCCTTTCAGCCGGTACTCTCAACCAATTGCTGTTTATCGTTTCCTGCTCCTTGAACGCACCCTGGAAGACTTCGAGAACACTGTTCATGGAGAAAGCGCAGATCGCTGAACCACCGATGGAATTAACAGGAGTTGTGAAGACACCATATACCAATCGTGTACGATTACCAGCGTAAAATCCTTCGGTTACGTCACTCGTTGATTCTGAAAATCATCGAATAAGATAAATGGATTATTGGATTTGTTAAACGAAAATAAACATGTCTTGCTTTTTAAATATCTTTTATTATTATTATTATTATTATTATTATTATTATTATTATTATTATTATTATTATTATTATTATTTGTTTTCATTTCTCTCTTTTCTTTTTCACTTTTTTCTTTTTTTTTTTATATAAATTTATTACAGATTAAAATTCAATCGAGAAATTCAACGTCTTTTCTGTTTATTTATTTCTTTTTTTTTTTTTTTTTTTAGTTTCTTAAGATTAAACATCAACGAATTATTATAATTTAATGTAAGTATAACAATTCGATATTTAATTCGATCGAATTCGATAATCGACTATATATAATTAAATAGGAATCGTTTTGATTTTATTGTCGTGCCATTACGGAAGGTATTGTTACAAAGAGAGTTAATTATGGAAAGAAAAAAAAGAAATCGCTTGCAAAGTTTTTGATGTTTGTTGTTTACGCTTGTTAAAAGAATCGTAGTATGACAACGAGTTTTTCGTAATGGCGTATAACAAAAGAAAGTAAAAAGGATCAGAATACTGCTATTATCCTTTTTATCGGTAAAAACGGTTTTTCTTCGTGTTACTCTGAAAAACACTAAAAGCAGTATTTAATTTTCCCTGTATAACGTTTTATAAGATATTTTTTCTTATCGCTTTTCTTTCTATCAAACGATAGAGCTTTTTAAAAAGAATTCGAAAATAAAAAGTTAAATTATCACTCAGATATTGAGATTTTTAATCGGACGGCAGTTAACTCTTCTTACAAAACTGAATAGTTTAATATTCTTGAAGATTATCGTTAAGAAATTGATTTAATTGATTAATTAAAATCGTTAAGAACTTTAAGATTTTATTATATTAAATAATTTATTCCAATTGAATTCGTTAGATAATAATTTTATTTAAATAATTATTTATTTTCTTTTTTCACATATTTATTTCAATAATTTGTCATTTTATTTTATTCATTTTTAATGATTTCTTTGAATTAAATTTAAATAGACAATAATTTCATTTATATCATTATTTAATATAATAAAATCATATGGAGGAAATAAATCTTGTCAATTCTTAACAAGTATATTAAAATATAATAATAAATAAGATTATAAGATTGAATAGTTAGAAATTATTTAAATATAATAGATAAATTTGATATTGCAATGTTTAATATTATCACAATACTTTTCCCTATTTTCTTTTCTTTTTTTTTTTTTCCTTTCTTTCTTTCTTTTTCCATTCAACCACGCCATCTAAATTATTTATAAATTGCTGAAATAATCGATTATATAGAAATAAAATATTAATCTATAATCTACTAGATTATAGATTAATAATAATCGTTAATTGCAAATAATATCGTGAGATATTTAACGACGATAAATTAATCTGTCGAAAAAAATGTTGGAAATAATATTTATGATACTATATTTAATTCAACGTCATATATGATAATATTTAATTATAAACATAAATTAACGATAATGATTTTACTGTGGAGTATTCATGATAGTAAAACGTATCTAAAATCTCATAACAGTCAACCTATTAAATCTTCAATAAATGCCGTGTCATATTCTAAGAATATCTTCACTCTCTCTCTCTCTCTCTCTCTCTCTCTCTCTCTCTCTCTCTCTCTCTCTCTTCTTCCCTCTCTCTCTTTCTCTTTTGCATGTTATTATACGGACTGGTGAGAAATACCAATAATGTAAGATATATTCCTTCTACTTTAGTTATCTTGGGCTCTAACGACTTAGCCACGAACTGGTCGATCGTGAAAATGTTTCTGGGCTGTGAGAAAAGGAAGGAAGGAAGGAAGGAAGGAAGGAAGGAAGGAAGGAAGGAAGGAAGGAACGAACGAACGAACGAAGAAAGGGACAGGACGGGAAGGGAGGTGGAAAGGGTTGATGACGACGAAAAAGGGAAAAAAATGTGACTCGCTTGGAACGTTTTCCCAGACTCGACTCAAGTAGAGAAAAAGAAAGGGAGAGAGAGAGAGAGAGAGAGAGAGAGAGACAGAGAAAGAGAGAGAGAGAAAAGAGAGAAAAAGTTCCCAACATCGCGACAAGTTTAAAAGTCGAACAAGCCTTTAAAGTCTCGTCCTCTTCCCTACATTTCTTTCTCTCTCTTACTCTCTCACTCTCTCTCTCTCTCTCTCTCTCTCTCTCTCTCTCTCTGTCTGTCTCTCTTTCTCCCTCTCTTTCTTTCTTTTTTCTTTCTCTTTTCTTTCTCTATTTATCTATCTGTCTCTCTTTCACTTACATACACGTATACACACGATATACATACTTACGAATATATTATATACACAGAAACATGTAACACATGTAATATAGAAAGAAACTTGTACCTTTTAAGGTGTGTTTTAACACGCACATATATATATATATATATATATATATATATATATATATATATCTAGTCGTGAAAAAGTTTTCAACTCAAATTCCATTCGTCTAACGGTACACTTCGAATCTTGGTGCATGAGTACGAAAGCCTTACTGGCGCCCTACTCCCTTTTGCGCCTATCCCTTATTCCTTCGTCCTTTTCTAGAGGAAACAAAGTGGAAACCAGCATGAAACTTCGTCAAATTCATCTCTCGTAGAGTCGACTTTTGCCGACTGTGATGAAAATTCAACTATGGTCCTTGCGATCTCTTTCTTCTCTCTCTCTCTCTCCCTCTCTCCCTCCCTTTCTCTCTCTTTCTCTCTTTCTATATATGTATATATATATATATATATATATATATATATATATATCTCGCTCCACTTTTTCCTTTTTATCGTACCGTATAACGAACGTCTTCATTTTATTATGAAGATAAAATTTGGTTTGTTATTAAGAGAAAAAAGGAAAAAATAGAAAGGAAAAAAAATGACATCGTACAAATTTAAACCTTTGAACTATAATTATTTTTCTTTCGTACGTTCCCGAGCCAATTTTTTGATTTGATTTCTTTTCTTTTTTTTTTTTATTCTTTTTTTTCCTTTTCCACTTTACAATATATGTATATATCTCATTTTTTACCGTATTATATATATATATATATATATATATATATATATATATATATAATATTAATATAATAAAATTTGTCGGATATAGAAAACAAAAAAAAAAGAAAAAAGAAAAAGAAAAAAAAATATATTAATGGTATACTTCGAACGAGGACCCGAACAATTTTATATTCTTTTATCGGAACATAGAAGGAATATAAAAAACATGTATATATACATGTCTTTCCATATACTTGTTTATCCATATACTTTGAAAGTAATTTTTTCATTAAAAATTTTCCACGATGTTATAAACACTAGAAGTAAATAGTTTAACTATTACAAAGTTACGATTATTATGAGTACGTGAATCAATTGTTATTTTTTTTTTCTTCATTTATCGTTAAAAAATAAAATTAAACCGATCGTAAGTGTAAATTAAAAATAATAACAAAACGAAAATTATTTTCATCCGAATAATCATCATATTGAGGTTAATTAAATTAAATTAAATTAAATTAAATTAAATTAAATTAAATTAAATTAAATTAAATTAAATTAAATTAAATTAAATTAAATTAAATTAAATTAAATAAATGAAAGATCGATCGAAAACGTCATTAATCGATTTAATAACGAACAAATTTATTAAATGTCGTTTATTTTATAAAATACATTTAATGAAAATATAAATCTTTATACCTATCCTATACTTCGACCCTATTATTTTTATGTCCTCTTATACGATACTATAATACATCTTTTCGATCAGCCCTTCGCGTATTTCTCGTTTCCTTTATAAAGCAACGATACCTTTGTCGGATATAGAACAGAAAACAAAAAAAGAAAAAGAAGAAAGAAAGAAAAAAAATATATTAATGGTATACTTCGAACGAGGACCCGAACAATTTTATATTCTTTTATCGGAACATAGAAGGAGTATAAAAGAAAGAAAAAAAAAAAGAAAAAAAAATAATGATAATAATAATAATAAAAAATAAGAAAAAAAAGAAAGAAAGAAAGAAAAAAGAGAAGAAGAAGAAGAAGAAGAAAATAAAAAGAATAATATCCAGAGAAAAGTAAAAATAGGCAAAGGAGCATACGCAGCCGAAGAAATACTACTTCTTTCCGTTTCTTTAACAGATGAATAATATAGTATGTATCCTGTAGACTTCCCTTTCTCCCTCATACTCTTTATTTTCCTTTCTCGATCATTCCTTTCATTCTTTTATACCTTTTACATATATACATATTTTTTTTTTTCTTTCTTATATACATTAACTCTTTATATAGCTCGTTTGAAAACTTTTCTTCGATCCGTTCTTTCGTTTGTTTTAAAGGGTATGATTTCGGTGTAGAAACTCGCGAAACTTTTGGAATCACACAATTTTCCGTATTCCGATGTACCTTCATGAATTTTCGACGTCGCTCATCGGTCGAGAAACGTATGATTGACTACGAACACGGTTTGTCAGCTTCACGTTTGTTAGTTTGGATGGGAGAACTCGGTCCGTTCGCCGAGAGTTAGGATCGGTCCTCGCTATTTCTACTAGATGTATGTGTGTATAAGCATGTATAAATGTATGTAAGTATATATATATATATATATATATATATATATATATGTGCAAGCATGTATGTCTATGTGTGCGTGTGCGCGCGCATGAAAGTATGTATATATACTTGGACGGTGAGTTCGACGTTTGCCCTTCTGTTATTGTTCCTGACAAACTTTATTACTTCGAGAACGGTATAGTATGATTTAACCCAAGTATAGACCAATCAAGTTTGATATGTTCGTACAACACAACTGTCGTACATTCCGCGAATAAACTAATCATAGAATATGGTGTATGTTAGTAAATCTTGACGTATCGCTTAATTTTTATTACTTTATACTATTATTTGTATACTACAGATAGATTTCTGTATGAAATATAGTATAAATAAAGTAGGATGAATGAATTAAAATGACAAATATTTTCTCTACATCTATTATCTAGGTATAAATAATATTATTTTTATAATATGAAAATTCGTTTTAATATATCGAGAATAATTATTTACGTATGTTATACGATATCAATATATTAGAGCAAAATATTATTTGTGATAAATATCAAGAAGTAATATGTATAATACACACATATATATATATATATATAATATATATAAAAAATATATAAAATATATATATATATATATATATATTTTATTTGATGAAATTTATTTGGTGTTTAAAACTATAAGAAAAAAAGACTTATGTTACAAAGATGTTTGATAATGTGAAAATATTTGTCTTGTTAAATGTAAAATTAAATAAATAAAAATTATATATATATATATATAATTTATATATAATTTATAATTAATATAATTAAACTAATATATAATTTATATATATATAATTTTTATTTATTTAATTATATAAATAAATAAAATTTATTTATATAATTATATTAATATATATAATTATATTAATAGATTATAATATATATATTATATATTATATTATATATTATAAATATTAAATATATATTAATATATATTATATTTATATTAATATATATAAATGAATAAAAATTATATATATATTATATGTATATATAATTTGATATTTTGTTCGAAAACATACGAAAAGATATTCATGTTTTAAAGATGTTTGATTGATCGAATTCATTATAATTTGAAAAAATTCATCATAATAAAAATAAATTTAAATAAATAAAAATTCTACTATATATTTCTTATATATATAGAATATTTGACATCCCGTTTTGAAAAGGTAAAAAAAAAGATTCACGTTCCGAAGGTGTTTGAAAAAAATTTGAAAAAAATTCGTCACTTTAAAAGAGAATTTATGTAAGTAAAAATTCTATTATATATTTTTTTATAACATTTGTAAAATAAGGTTATCAGTAATACGAACTTTTATAAAAATTGTGACTTGCATTTGTATAACACGATATAGAGATGTTTTGTCTAATTTAATTACTTTAATTCTTAAAGGTTATAATGGGAGAAATTTTATCCTAAGAAGATGAGAAATGCGGAGCTTAATTGACTTATTTGTTTCAATTACCTTTATATTATTTGTAATAAAATTATAAAGTAATTAATTCTTACAGCTTTAACCTATAAGAAAATAATAACTTTTTAACAACATACTTAATAACAAAATACTTATTTTTTTTTTTTTTTTTTTATTAATCTTTATAATAAAATAAAAGAAAAAATAGCGAAAAGCAAAATCGAAACCAAAAATAGCATGATAATGTGAATTTTTCTTTTTTTTTTTTTATTTATATAAACTTTTAAAGTTTGAATACTTCAGTTATTTTTTTTTTATATTTATATATTTGATGATTGTCGATCAAAGTCCAAAATAGATAGACGGAATAGATTAAATTCAAATATTTTAAATAACATTATGAAAACAAATTAAAATTTGCATTATAATTAAAATTAAAATTATTAAAAATTAACATTTTAAATAGTATAATAAATACATTGTATAAATGTGACATGATCTCTCCTATAAAAAAAAAAAATCATTACGATAATTAGAATTTTAAATTTTATTTTATAAGCAAACCTCATATATATACACACACACAGACATATATCTTTTATAAATATATACATCCAAAATGTATACACGACCTATATTTATGTATAACTTATGTGATTCGTCGTTGTATTACAAATATGATTTTATGTCGTTTCCTTTCGCTCGAAATATTTTTCTATTATCAAATACTCACCTTTTTTTCTTTTTCTTTTTCTTTTTTTTATTCCATGTCGAACGGATTACGTTTTCTCGATCAAGATCCGATATATCAAACAGTACTTTCCTCTGAGAAAGTTCTTGAATACAGTTGAAAAGAAAAGGAAAAAGATCCAATTTTATGATATATATTTTCTGGAGAAATCTCATTCTAATTCTCGTTCAGTAGCATGGAACGCAAGAACGAGAACGTCGACCGGACGAAGGTATCGCGATACACAGCTGAGGAATTTCAAGACGGTCGAGTGATTTGGCTTTCAGGTGCAACGGTCCGATTCGTTGTCGGAGAATTTCATCCCCGAGACGGTAATAAACTTCTTTATTCATTTCCTTTCTTCTTTCCCATTCTACTATCCCGTTCCAAGGTTTCTCCCGTCATCTGGCAAAGGCAGAACACATCGTGGAAAGGCCATACCAGAAGCTGCTAGAGGTCTACGACGAGTAGAGTAAAAGAAGGAGTTAGAATTGTAGGAAGGAATGAAAGAAGAAAGGAAGATAGTACTAGAAAGAGAAAGAGAAAGAGGAAGAGATCGTAAAGGGTAAGCAAAAGAAAGAGAAAAAGAAAGAAAGAGAGGATTGGGAGTGGAGTCTAGGTTGTCCGAGCAATCGGTGGGATAGTCCGGACCTGCGATTTGGCAAGGATCCACCAAACGGATCTTTCAGCTGGCCAGAAGCCAAGCTTCCTCGTCGGATAGGGATTTCGGTTCGATGTGCGGCGACAATATTCTCTGGCTCCTGAAAGAGCAAGAGAGAGAAAGAGAGAGACAAAGAGAGAGAGAGAGAGAGAGAGAGAGAGAGAGAGAGAGAAGTACATATCCCACCACTCGTCTCGTCTTTTCTCTTTTACTCTGGACTAGCGTAGCAGTACCAACAGCGGCAGCCTAGTCGTTCACCGTTTGGCTACTCCACCTCCTGGTGAGCTTGCGGCCATTGTACCATTTGTACTTTCCTACAGGCTCCCCAGGCTTCATTTCGTTGCTCCATAGGCAGTTGGGACGACTTATCGAGTGACAGGAAACCAGTTTATATAGTACACTACATGCTTTACCTTCAGAGTTGGGAGGGATTGGGTAGGGTTGAGTTGAGTTGGGTTATGCTGGGAAAACCACCGGCTGCTGGTGAACGTGATGGTGAATAATCTATCTTATAAGCATGATGAACAATACAACATATCGAACAAAAATTTCTTTTCAGTTCTACATGTAATATGGGACGCGCCACATGATTCAATCTCGACTAGATCATTTTTTTTCTTTTCTAGTTAGATTCTTTCCCTTGATTTCCGTCTCGCAAGATTTCTAAAGGTTTATATCTGACTAGAGGATATGTCTAGGATATAACAAATTGTTCCACGACGAGGAAGAATGTTTTTAAGTAAAGAAAATTGTTCTCTGACCAGGCATTATATTTTTAGATATAAGAGAAAAAGAAAAAACAAAAAAAAATATTCCCTGACTTAGAAGAATATTCTTAGATAAACACAATTATTCTGCGATCAGACGAAACATTTTTATTTAAACAAAATCCTTCCTTGTGATCGTGGTAGAATATTTTTAGATAGAAAAAAAAAAAAAACATTGTTTTTCAATCTAAAAGAATATTTTTAGATAAATAAAATTGTTTCCTGACCGTGGCGGAATATTTTTAGATATAAAACAAAAAAAAAAAACATTGTTTTCCGACCTTTCCGATATAAATAAAAGATTGTTCTCCAAGCAAAGGCAATTACTTGTTTCATCTGATAAAATTGTTCCCTTCCTCCTTCTTCTCTCATTGGGGAAAAAATTGTTATGTATAAAAATGTATATATATAAAGAAAAAAAAAAAAAAAAAAAAGAAATTAAAACAAACAGAAAAAAATTGATACTCACGTATTTCGTTGAAATAGAATGGATATTCGCCAGGTACAGAACAGTTGAGTCTAGCTTTCAGGAAGCTCGTCCATCTGTCGCTGAACGCATGAGGACCGCCTTTGTCGTGCTGGCAGACTCTACCGACCCGCGAGTAGACCGCCTAAAAATAAAGAAAATTCTTGTTGGTCACGAACAATCCTTACTTCCTTCTTCTTCTTCTTCTTCTTCTTCTTCTTTTTTGTTTTTTTCTTTTTTTTTTTATTTTCTCATCTTATAAAATAGCATTCTTATATAATACCTTGCCACAGTTCATATACTCGACCGCGGTTTCCCGATAGAAGAAGAACACGTAATCCTCGTAGGCGAACGAGCTGACAAAATTTGGTCCTGAAAACAAAATCAACATTTTTATTCATTTCTCTCTCCCTATGTATATATATATATATATATAATATAATATAGAAATAGAGAGAATGAGAATGTGTGTGTGAGAGATAGAGAAAGATATATATCTATGTATATAGAAATAGAGAGAATGAGGGTATGTGTGAGAGAGAAAGATATATATATAATATTTACAGTTTTTTATATAATAATTTAAATGTTTAATTATAACAATACTAATATATTATTTCCTATATATAAATATAGAAATATTATAATTATTATTATAATTAAAAATTAATATATATATATATATATAAAATAATATATTATTATTAATATAATTAAAAATATCAATTATTATATAGAAAAATTATAATTATATATATATTATTATATATATATATATATGTATATATATATAATTATAATTATGTATAATTATATATGTTATTATATTTATAATATATAATTAAAGAATAACATAAAATTGTGATTAATAATATTTTTAATAAATTATATATTCAAATAAATATTTAATTTATATTTAATAATTATATATATAAAATAATATATTACTATTGTAATTAAAAATTTTTATTATTATATAATTTAATTTATAAAAATTATAAATATTTTATACATATATATTTTTTCTATATATATATAATCCTATTTATATATATGCGTATGTGAAAAAGATATAAATATATGCATATATCTTTCTCACATACATATACTCTTATTGTCTTTATTTTTCCACATACTTGTTCGTTTTAATATAGAAATAATTTCTCGTTTAACGCTTTAATCACATTTTTTTTTTATTCTTTAACGAATCCATATTTAATGATTCGTGAAAAAACGAGGTGAAAAATTCATAGTAGAATCATCGTACTTATCCTAACATCTATTATCTCACGTCACATACTTCCCCTTATATCTTCAATATCAAAATGATACTGGGTAAGTTATCGCAATGTATTTATAATAGGAAAACTCGATGGAAATAGAAATCTATGGAGGTAGATCATACATACGTGTACGCGTTAGAGTGCGATATCGCGATCATCGAGAGTGATTTATAAGCGTGACATCGATGAAGGGGTTTTGGGTATAGGGGTTAGGGATTAGGGAGTAGTGGAGAGATTTTGGTGAAGTGGGGACGATGTGGGAGGATAGGGGAGGCACGAAGCGACATTTGGTAAAATTTCGTTACTAAAATCGGATAAAAGATGAGCTCGTGCGATCGAAGGAACGGGGGTTTATGGTGAGAGTAGAGAAGGGAGTGAGGGAAATAAATCGAAATTTCCAAATAAATTGACTGTCTCGTACGTGTTCGTCGATAAAGATCAAATACCAACATGTCGATAACGGTATTGGTATTGATATTTCAGAGGGATGAGGAGAGTGGGAGTGGAAGTGGGAGTGGGGCATGAGGGTGAGAGTACGATAAGTACTAATTGTAAGCTCTATTCGTCGGCCTGTTCGTTCGTTCGTTCGTTCGTAGTACGTTACGCGGAGAATTAACGACGAACGAAATAATATTCTTTCGGGAAATGCGAGGCTTCCTGAATGACGCACTCGCACGAATAATACGATCGATAATTAAATTTTAATTTCGCCGGGTCACGAGCAACGCTAGTTGGCGGGCCAGACACCGATCAAAATTCGATGGGCGAGTTCGCTTCACTACTCATACCCATTTTCTGTCTCTCTCCCTCTATCTCTCTCTCTCTCTCTCTCTCTCTGTCTCTCTCTCTCTCTCTCTCTCTCTCTCTCTCTCTCTCTCTCTCTGTCTCTCGTTATTCGGACTTATTACAACGCTTTGGGTACAAAGGGTGGATTTAATTAACATGATAATTAACGTTAACATGGTTTGTATATACACACACATATATATACATATAATATGTATATACATATTATACATATATATATATATATATATATATATATATATATATATATATATATGTATACACATGTTTCAATGTGTTGATCTATCATCATTCTTCTATTTTATTGAATAGAGAAGTTAGAAGTTAATACGATATTTTTGTTGTTTTTTAAATTCACAACGTAGACGTGAACGATACAATCACCGATTGCATTTGATCGACGTTATGTTATATATCGAACGCATTGATTTTTAACACTCGATTTACGGATATTGATTGTATAGCTATTATTACTGAAACCCGTAGGTACGGTATTGACGGGGTAACATTTTTAAATGTGATTTCTCTCTTTTTTTTCCTTTTTCTTCCTTTTTTTTTTGTCTCGTCGTCGTTGTCGTCGTCGTCGTTACTACGTTACATATCTACGTTACATTCAATTTTAAATCAATTATGAAATAGTTAAATAAATTTAAATATATTTATGTACATGTGTGTGTGTGTGTGTGTGAGCGCGTATTCGTATTATTAAATCGAACAAATACCGGTAGAAATTATTTAAAAAATAATTTGTTAGCAATTATAAATAAAATATTACTTTTAATTAATTTAATATATTAAAATAAGAAGAAATCAAAAAAAAGGGGGGGGGAAATATTAAATACAAAATAAATATTATCAATTATAATTTGTATTATTTTAAGCAATGTAACTTGAAATCGATCGAATAAGACTATTTTCGTAAATCTTTAAATTTAATCCAATTAAGCGTAAGTATCGTAGCAAGAAATAGAAAGAAAAAGAAAAAAATAAATAAATAAAAAAAGAAAAAAAGGAACTTAATTCAATAGAATCAATATTAATTACATAGAAATATAATTAATTAATAGAAATAATATATTTACCATTCAATTGATTCAAATCGGATCGTTCCGTTCGGATCTTCTCCCTAAGGATAAGAGGTGCCCCTCCGGTGAAGTCCGCAACCGTCGCAGCATAGAGCTGTCCCTCTGAAACACAGAAACGTTTCTGTCAAAATGTCACGTTGGAGACATTTACCTTGTGTCAGGACGTTTAGTATGGTTAGTTAGGGTGTCCAGGATGGGAGGAGGGTCATCAAATTCACGATTATAACAGTTGACGGAGACGGTAAAGGCGACCCTCCTCCTTTCGGGTTAATTTTCACATCCTCTAGTGTCACACTACGATGAAGGTGGTAGAAAGCATTTACGGAATCCTTCTCCTCCTAATCTTCGAGAAGGACCCCTCTAACCTTTGCTGTCTTTCGACCTTGTGCTATGTCTACCGCGTTACGCGTTACGAACGCATACCGTTCTTATATGAAACGTTCCTTGAAACTATCCTACCGTGTTTAATCGCTTCTCGTTATATATATGCCTATATATATACATATAT